TATCTGAGGCTTCTCTGTACAGTATCTGTATAAAACAGAAAGAATACAACCCAAGGGAAAGAGAGAAATTTCCACTATTTATTCCAGGTACTATTGCTTTCTGGAAAATAATTACAGAGCTTTCACTGTAATTTATTTCCAGATTCTAGGACACCATTCCTGCAAGATACACCTCAGGTTTAATAAGAGCTTTCAAGGGGAAAAGGAAACTCTATTAAGTACTTGTCAATTGTAAAATGCACTCCAATGGAAGAAATGCTTAGAATGAATTTTTTTAAAAAACAGCTATGGAGATTCAATTTCACAGCAATTCAGTGTTTAGTGTTTGCCGTGGAAGGATGGCCGCAGCGATCCCACCCTGGGGCCAAAGGGCAAGGTCATGAAACCTGGGATGGAGATGCAGAAAACGGGAGTGGCTTGCTTTTCCATTCCCCAGGCAAGGTCACGTGGAGGAGAGCAGAGCTACGGCCTTCAATACAAGGGGTTCAGATCTCAGCTCTGCCATTTACTACCTCTAAGACCTCAGTTTCCGCCTCAGAAAACCATGGATTTTTTCATTCCTGCAACAAACTTATATTATGAGTCTAAAATTTTCCAGGCACAGTCCTAGACACTGATGATATCTAAGGAACAAGGCAGAGACGGGCCCTGGCCTGCGCAGAGGGAGGGAGTGAGCACAGACAAAATAAACAAGATCACTCCAGGTACTGAGAAGTGCAAGGTCAGAAATGGAACAGGGGGTGGGGCAGTGCCTCGGGGCGCAGCTTCTCCAAAGAGGCAGGATTTGAGCTCAGACCTCCAAAGAGCTTAAAGAAAATCATTCCAGAGATGGGGAAACAGCTGGTACAAAGGCTCCCAAAGGAGGAGTTGGCCTGAGAAGTCGCAGAAGTGTCTGGGCGACAACGGCCGGCCGGCCGAGCCCGCAGAAGGGAGAGGGGCAGGGAGGAAATCCGTGAGGTGGGGAGGGCCGGCTCCGCAGCAGCTGCAGGCCACCGGGAGGACTTCGGTGCTCTAAATGTCATGGGAAGGCATCTTACACTGGGGGTACGTGATCACATTTTTGTTTTAAAAGTTCCCTCTGGCTCTGGTCTTTCACACGACAGGTGCTGGGGTTGAGAGAATAACGACTGTATCCTGAGGATGTCTGGGGATTCGCTGAGAAAATACCGAGCCGCTGGCAGAGTGCCTGGCCCTCACGTGCGCTCGGAAATGGCTGCTATTCATTATAACACGCGCGGACCTCTGCGCACATCGCCTTCCTTCCCGTGACTGCGTTGCCTACAGTAATCAGCTTCAGAGCCATCTTCCCAGCAAGAGGGCACTCTGACAGCCACCGCCTTCCTTGTAGTGGGGGGCCCACTTCGGGCAGCTGGTGTCTTTGATAATCCAAGTGACAATGGGCAAGTCAGGTCACTTTCCTGAGCTCAGCCTCCCTATCTGTTAAGTGCGGCTGCAAATCATACCTCCTGGCCCCATGATTTTAAGGTAAACATGAGACATGGGAATGCACTCCAAGACCCATAAAGTGCCACACAACTGTCAAAGTTTAGGAAGCAGAGTCTGTGTTATTACTTGTCAATTATATCCAGGTATTCATGGTTTAGGAATTTAAAAAACACACACATACAAACACATGCACAGACATGTGGGAAACCATGAAGGAAAAGAGGAAATTTTCATTGCTTTTTGTGAGAAGGTAAATTAATGCAAAATCAAACGGTGTTACCTGGTCAAGTTCAAGCTTTTCTATGTCTAAGAGAAAAGTCCCCCACTTGTGCACAGGAGAAGGGTATTGGAGGGCACATGCCGTGTTTGTAATAATAAAGAATTAGTGAGAAACAACCTAAGTGTCCATTAGGTGGGAAACTGCGATGTTAAGTGCATAGATTCAAGCAAACACTGAGGAGGGAAAACCAATGGAGACAGACCAGATTCGAGGTGAGGGACAGAGGTAGCAAGGATGAGACCCATGTCTTAGATTTGCACAGCAGAGCCATCCCCTGAGACAGGAAGCCTTGGAAGAGTCCTGGGTTTGGGTGACGATCGCACACTCTGCCCCGGAGGAACTTCCGATGCCTACACGTGGGTGTGTCATGTGGCCAGTCAGACAGATGGTCTGAGCTTAGAGGAGAAGCCTGGACTGGAGGCATTGATGGACCGGGGAGGTGGGAGGAGGGGTGGAACCATCTGCAAATAGACCGTGAGCATAGGTAAAACTGCTGAGAGAATATAGAATAACAGAAGAGCCCTGGTCTTGAAGGGTAGTGTAGGACTAGTCCCAAAGGTACTACAAGTATAGCATTTTTAACAGCTTTATTGAGATGTAATTGACACACAATAGACTGCACATATGGAAAGGGTATACTTTGATAGGTTTGACACAGACACACCCATGGATCCATTGTTACATTCAAGGTAATGAACATATCCATCACCTCCAAAGTTACCTGGCGTTCCTTTTAATCCTTCCCACCTGCCTCGCTCCTGGAAAACCCTGATCTGCTTTCCGCCACTCTAGGTTGGTGTTCACCTTCTAGAATTGTGTATGAATAGAATCATGCAGAACATAGACTTTTTGGTCTGGCACCTTACATTCAGCCTAATTATTTTGAGTTTTGTCCATGTTGTTGCGTGTACCGAGAGTTCACTCCTTTTTATTCCAAATAGTACTCACTGCTTACATGCTCACCAGTTTATGGACATTCAGGTTGTGTCCAAATATTTTTGAGGACATTTGTTTTAATTTCTCTTGGAAATATCTAGTAGCATGGCTGGATCATGGTGTAGGTGCATATTTAACTTTTAAAGGAACTGCCTAATTGTTCTCCAGAGAGGAAAGACCATTTTTCATCCCCAGCAGCAAGGTGGGAAGAGTTCCAGTTGCTCCTAATCCTCGCAGTACTTGGCATGGTCAGTCATTTCATCCTAGTCATTTAACTGGAGCCATTCTAATAGGCATGCGGTGCTATTTCGTTGTGGTTTTGATTTGCCTTTCCCTAGTGACTAATGGTGGAACTACAACTTTTAGCAAGTGGTAGAAGACCAAACCGGTACAGGAGACCCAAAGGAGTACACAGGGATGCAGGAAGAAAAGCAGAGAAAAATGTGGCATCCCAGAAGTCAACAGGAGAAATGCTTCAAAAAGACAGTCGTCAACAGAATCAAAGGACACTCTCATGAAGACTGAAGATTCTCTTTCGGATTTCAGCCGCGGGTGACTTTATCAAAAGCCGTTTCAGTAGCAATTCTAGCTTCTAGCCTCTTTCTACATTTTCAGAATGAGCACCATTGCACTGCCTACTGGGTCCCAGCTCCACAGGGCCCCTCTTTCCAGCCCCGGAGGTGAAAGCACCAGTTGTACCCCCTCCTAGCAGTTCCAAGTTTCAGAGTGAGGTTGGGGGGGTCACAGGCTCTGTTCCCTAGGAAGCCAACTCCGAGGTCGAGATTAGCATGCAAAAGGTACACTACAGAATGGTCCCAGGGTCGTCACCTCTGGGAGGGAAGGGAAAGGCGCAGGACTGGGTGAGGAAGAAGCTGGGCTGCGATGCCGTCTCGGCCCAGGGCTCAGCCAACCCCCACGAGAACGGCCCATCATTGTTGTCCCTGTTGGTCACACACTGCATGGACCAGTCATTGGATGCAAGCTGCCCCAGGAGGGGGGCCATGATCCCAGGGGAGCTGACCCTTCCCAGTTAAGGACATTCCTGTCTCTGGTGACCGCTGAGGGCACCATCCCCTGCGCGGTTTCTTCCCTCAGTCTTGAAGCAGGATGTGGTGGCACACTGAGCGTCCCCAACAAGGGGCTTCTCCATGTTTCTGGGTCCTAATCACCCCAACCACTTCCCTCGGTTCCCCACCTAGGAGTGGAAGTCATTTCTTGCAACTAGTGTGTCTAAATTACGTCAGCGCCTCGTTTGCGCTCCTGCATCCTCCAACACCTGTCTAAGCCATTCCTTCTACTAAACTCTCGTGCTGCACCTGTGCCCCTGACTGACACTCTCCCCTCCGCCCAAGGGGGCCCCAGCACCAGTAGAGAAGGGAGGGGAGGGCTGAGAAACCCACACTTTGTGACTGATTCTGTGCCCTACTGACCAGGTTACATGTAATAACCCAGAAAGGCCAATTTGGTAAATCACAGCATTATGTTTTGCTCTTAGCTCCTGCATACTCTCCGAGTCATCTGACAAGACAGAATCTGGCCTGGAATCCTCGGGGAATACGCACCGTGTGCCCTCCGCGGGTCTGCCCTGCAGGTAGGAACATGCCCGAGCTCCCTGAGATCCCTCGAGCCTGAGCGTAATCCACTTACTGCTTGTCTGACATGTTAATGCACTGAATGGCTCCCCCGTGATCCGAGAATGTTAACACAGCCACAGCCTAAGTGCCGAACTTCATGTGGCAGTGACTGTAGTTCGGGGATAATGGGCTGTAAAGCAGTATCAATGGGTATCAAAGGGGCAAGAATAAATCAAGAATTTCATCATTCCATTCTTCAGACTGCACCACATCTGACTTTCAATTAAGATGAAAATGCTAGTGACCACAACCAGCACATCCTACACAAATAGATCTTGCTAGTTCATCAAAGGTTCATCACAACACATATACGTGGTCATATCAGCTTCAGAAGGTGTGTCTGACCTATAATTCCCTGGCTCTCACCAACAGATTGGGAAGGACTCAGAACACGACCCACTTCAGTCCTTCCGCGCACATTTTATTAACGCAGAGGGACAATGATTTACCTTATTAACCTCACAGGGGTGGAGACCCTGCTAAGCACCACGCACGTAGTATACCATGAACTCGATTACAAGGAGGAAGCAAAACACATCATTATTACCAAAAATACCTCACTGATGACAAGGCTTTCCCTCCCCACCCCCACCCCAAAAATGTATTAAAGGCTTCAAATATACAAATCTAAAAATATGTTACCACATTTAACATTAAGACTCCAGTTTATTTTTAAAAATAGACTGAGCATCTCTCCTTCCCCTGATTCTCCAATTGTGTGAAGAAGTCCTTGTCATCATCCTCTTTCTCCGAAACTTCTATCCTTTGTCCTGGAGCAGAACAGGAGGAGGGGCTGAACAGGGACCCGAGGTGGTGACTACGATGCCTGCTCTGCAGGCCGCTTGTGCTGGCTCTGGAGGTGGCCCTCGCTCCCTGGGGACGCGTCCTTCTGTGGGTTCGCTGTGCCACTCTCTCCGGCAGTCTCGATCCAGGGGTGCTGAAGAACCTGGTGGGCCGTGTAGCGCTTTTTGGGGTCTACCACCAGCAAGCGGCTCACCAGGTCTTTGGCAGCTGTTGGAGGAAGAGGGGGAGGAGAAATGAGGTGAACACGGGTGGTTCTGAACTATTCTTCTCCACACGTGAGCTAAGAACACAAACATCCACGTTAGCGCCACATGCAACTCAAGCGCCGCCCAATAGAACTTTCTGCCGTGATGGGAACCTTCCCTATTGGTGCCACATACTGGGGACAACTGAGCCTTTGAAATATGGCTGGTGTGACTAAGGAACTAAATTTTTATTGTATTTACTTTTAATTAGTGTCCATTTAAACTGAAGTAGCCACGTGCAGCTGGGGACAATCCCGTTGGACAAAGAGCTCTAAGGAGGCTCGTTCATTTCTCCAGAGCCACGGGGCCAGGCCCGCCGCCAACAGCCACGGCGTCCAGCCCAAGAGAGCAAACGGGGGCCACATACCATCGGTCTGCCTGTCGTAAATGTGGAAACCAAACTATCAAGTTGTTAAATAAATTATGTGCATTCTCCCTTCCCACGTTGATAAATAGAAAACTATTCTTAAATGACCTGTTTAGGGAAAATCGGGGGTTGGGAGTTATCACTCCTGTTCTACTTTTTAAGCTAAAGACTCAAAACTTCCAATTATCTAGTTCTCAGTTTTACAAGGGCAGCGGATAGAACAGACAAGTCAGTAGAGGCAAGGGAAAGATTCCGTCTCAAAGGGCCAAAAAGGAAACCTTTTTTCTTCCAAGTCCTGCTGGGCTCCAAGTTTGCCCCGCAAGACTTGGTGATGCACAAGTAAAAATAGGCATTTTCAGTCTATTCAACTCACAAGCACGTCTATATAGGAGATGGTCTGGATCTTTACAAATGAGGGTTATATGCTCCCAATATTGTTTTCACTTCCAATGTTCTTTATTTTCCTTAAAGAAAAGTATTCGGTGGCTGCCACTGGCAGGTAGAATTTCCATTAAGTCTGAAAGACAGCCGTGTTTTGCGGTATAGATTTACGTCGCGGGACATGAAGGAGGAAGCACAACATGTTGATGCGTTTGTGCCTGCGGGGGCCTTCTGCATTCTCATCACACATCTGACCTAGAACCTGCCCTGCAGTCAGACCACGGGTGGCCCTCCAGCTCTACACCCTCCTCCCCTGGCTTGGAAGCCCCAAATCTCACCATCGGAGATATTGTCCCAGTAAGGGGCCAGGAACTCGAAGTGGCCCTGCTGGATGATGTTGAAGAGCTCGTCCTGGTCCCTCTCCAGGCTGCGGAACGGGGGGAAGCCACACAGCAGGATATAGAGGATCACGCCGGCGGCCCACATGTCCACCTCCAGCCCGTAGCCTGCGGGACGGAGGCAGAGACACAAGCACAGCTGAGCGCAGGCTGCATCAGATGTGAGGAGGCGCGCAGCGGAGAACCATGGCTGTGGGTCACGGAAGACCTCAGCTGTCAGGGAGCCAGGGCCGCTTCCAGACCCGTGACTGCCAACTGCTACGGCCACGGGGTCCGCACCAGGGTCGCTCACAGCTGGGTCCCGGGGCCACCGCCACTACTTTGTGATCCTTTATTACTGGTCGGTGATAAAGTAAGCATAGAAATTGAAAGTAAACGCTTGGAAACTCTTATCTGGCATGGCTATGACATCCAATTGCACGATCTGTGGACACATCTCATGGACCAGGGTTGTGTAACACACATGGTAAGTCACGCGTGGCAGGACCTATCATCGAGTCACATGAGGCAGGACTGCATAGGGGTCCACAGGAATGAGACATTTTAAAACATGGCCCTTCACCAGAGACACTTGGAGAAACCCTGGTCTACACCAGCAGCCTCTGCTTCTTAGCCATTGCCTTCTCACTTCAAAAATATTATTTACTGGCTCTTTTATGATGATAAAAAGACAGATATTACCAGCTATATTCACCATGAGCACACAAACACACACACACATACTTTAACAAAATCAGGATCACATTGTACATATGTTATATCCTATTTCACTCACTTAATATTACATAGCATTTCCTATATAGGAATTTCCCATGAAAAACATAAAAAGTCCTCTTCAAAAATATCATCTCTAATAGCTGTTAGTGTTTCCTTTATATAATTAATCTTCTATGTTACAATTTAAGTTTTTTCTAACTTTGTTTACAACTGTAGGTAATTCTGTGATGAACATCCTTATAAATTAAATATTTGTGCACATCTCAGATTATCTCCTTAAAATAACTTTCTGTAAAGTACATGCACAAAGTAATATGCAGCAAAGGATTTTGATACCTATTGCCCAATCAAGAACCCAAAGTTTATAACAGCAGTATGTACATTTTCAAACATTTTCTTTTTCTCTTTGGAAAAGGAAAGCACTTGGCAGCTTTCATTGGGAAGCTAGATGTTCATTATTAAGCCCCAGAGCAATGTTGTCAAGATACAAATCCACTGCAAAGTGGTAAGGGAACAAGTACCCCTTTCCGGCCAACTTGAATGTCCTTCCTCAGTTCTCAACCACCTTCCACTCTCAGGAGGGCCTGGTCCTGCAGGGCCTCCCACCTTCGTGAAACGTGCCCCTCAGTGGCTGTGACACTGCGCTGTCCTCAGCTTCCCCCTGCCTCCTCCGCTGCCCTGTCTTCCACGGGCCCCTCTTCCCAGCTCCTCCCCGCAGGAATCCGCCCTTGGCTGCTCTTCCTCGCGTCACTGGGAACTCATGACAGTCTCCTGCTCCGGCCACCATCCCTGAGCTGAGGGGTCTCAAAACCCCAGGCTCAGCCCAGCGTTTCACGTCCTTGCCAACCGGGCAACTCTGTGTGTCCATCTGGAAATCTCCACAAAGTCAGTGTGTTCACGTTTTAACTCACCCCATCCCCTTCTCCCAAAAGAGAGCCTCCCTTTCCAACACCCTGTTTTAACTGGTGCCGTGGTTTTCCTAAAATTCACGCAGACTGTTGGCTCCCCTTCCTCTCATCCAGGTCATGGATGCTTCCCTGGAAACGTCTGGGTTGCTAGTGTTTGTCTGTCCCACGGTAACCACGTTCCCCTGACTGCTGCCTGGCCACGCTGAGCCCCGACTCCTCTGCCCAGCCTTCCCAGCTATGGCGAGACCAAGCTCAACCCACTCAACCAACTCACTTCCCTCTGCGACACTGCGGCTAGCCTTCTCCCCAACGGCTCTACCACCCAACCTCCATGCACATTGTGGTCTCCTCGTCTTAGCTTCTCTGATGCCTCTGCTGATGGGAGACTAGCTCTTCCTTCTCCCTCCCACCCTCCACCTCTTCCAGAAACTTCCCTTCATGCATAGCGTGCTTCAACTGATTCCACCTGGAGTGCTCAGTTGCTGAACAGTCATTCATGTATTTAGAGCCATGTGAGGATAATACTGATAATAATATTAATACCCTTTTTATATATTTTACAGAGTATGTCACTAAAGCAGTTCATTGGATCCTCATACGATATAGAAACAGGTAATAAATATTATTCATGGAGTTGGAAATCAGATCCCCTTTGTCTTAAGACGCAGGTTGGTGGAGGAATTCTTAAGCCAATTGCCTACCATTAGAGGTAGCCCCAGGTCTGTGGCACAAAGGGCCTCCTTTGAGTGGGCCCCCACTGAGTGCTCCACCCTCCCCCATCTCACTGTACCACACACACACACACACACACACACACACACACTCCAACCCTCCCTCTGTAATAAGGGCAGCCCTGATTTGGAAAAAGTTCTCATGCTTCGGTTAAGAAGCATTGCTTTAGATATTTCCATTAAAGCCTAAGCGCCACCTTAGCGCCAACTCTGAGATTTTTGACCTCTCCATGTTGAAAAATATAAATATTAAATATTTTTAAAAGTCGAACATTAATCCGTAAGTGAGCAAGTGCCTCCCAGAGCAACGTGTCCCACTCACCTTTCTCAGAAAGAATTTCAGGAGCTACGTAAGTCGGCGTCCCGCAAACAGTAAATACTGGTCTCACCACGTGCTTTGCAAGGCCAAAATCAGCCAGTTTCAGGGTGGTAGATTTGTCCTCATTTCGCTGAACCTGGAAGGAACCAAAAGCCCCAAATCACCAAAACTGTGATGAGAACAAAGAAGGAAAACCAATGAGACAACAAGCATAAAAGGTCAGGATGACAGACAACCTACACACACGTATAGTTTAGCCCAACATTGATAAACCCCGTTTGATCTCAGTGACGGGTGCTCATACTTTAAGTAAAAAATTAATGAGTTAGATTCATACCGTATGGCCAAAGATGGCTATTTAATTTTAAACTAAATTAAAAACTCAGTTTCTCAGATGCTCTAACCACGATTCAAGTGTGCAGTGGCTCTCAGGGACTATGGCTACAATATTGGGCAATGCAAATATAGAACATTTCCATCATCACAGAAAGTTCTGTTGGGCAGCATTGACCTAGAACAAGGATCAGTGGCATTTAGAGGACAGACTAGCTTTAGTGAGGACTAGAAAGTGCCTGAGGGCAATGCCAAGTCTGGGAAAAGGGGAATGAGGGGGAGAAAAGAACTAGGAATTAGAATGAAGAAGTAGACAAATAAGCAGAGGAGGGATGTTAAATACAGGCCCTAATTGGGGGGAGGACGGGGAAGGGGTCAGTTAAGAATCACGCAGACCCGGAGTCTTTAATTCCAGTCCCAAGACGTGCAGCGGGATGGTGCTGGACAATTTCATTACTGATCTGAGTTTTAAAGAGGGGGTGAAAGTTTCCAGCAAATAAGAGTTCTATTCAGGGCCTGTAACCTATGCTGCAACGTGTTAGCCGGAGAGTGACCAACAGTCCCAGATTGCCTGGGACTTACGGGGTTGCCAGGCGGTGGGCCTTTCATTTTGAAAACTTTCATTTTTATAACTTTCATTTGTAAAACCATCGTGAGCAAACCAGGGTGAGGTGGTCATGCTGGCTTGCACGGAGTAAGTCTTTAAAAATTAATGCTGTGGAACTGAGCTTTATTCCTCCATATTGGAACTGACAAACTGGTTCTAATTGTTCATATTTTTGCATGAAGGTGAAAGAAATTATATTTGATTCTTCCTTTAGATCCCACTTCTACCAGATTTGAGGGTAGAATTAGTCATTTTTTGAAACCAAAAAGAGAGCTACCCCCAACTCTGGAATGAACACAGAACACGGACTGCTCTCCCACGTTCTCATGAAACTACATCCCCCCTGAGAGTCTCGTCCCTTCCAACAAGTCCAGGTGGCTGGCTTTCTGATCTCTGGTAAACCCATTCCCACTGCCAAGTTCACCTGCCCTGCCCTTCCTTCTTCACCCTCAAGCTATCAGCATGCTAGACGACTGTGAGGAAAAGCTGGGTCTTAACCTAAAAGAAGTGAATCTCAAGAGGTGAGCTTAGCAATTATTCAGATCGCCATGCAAAAAAAATAATAATAATAAAGCTAAAGATATATTTCCCATTGAAAGAAAGAAAGAAAAGATGAAGGGGCAAACCTAGCATATGGGACAGGAAGTAAAAGCCCCTCAGTGCCCTTCCGGACCCTGCACAGCCTGAGGAACTTGTAGCAAAGGCCCTTCTTGTAACAACATAGTAAAATCCACTGGCCCTGCCTCCTGCTGGTGCCTCGGGTCCACCTGCCTCTGGTTCTCTTGGGGGCCTCTGGATGGGCTCCTCACCTCCTGTGAAGGAAGGACCTCCTTGCTTGAAGATTCCGTGCCATGTACCAATTACAGGCACAGACTCTGGAACCCGGCTGTCACGGTCCAGACGCCAGCCCGCCACGTGCTGTATAACAACTGGTCAAGCAACTTGCACTCCCTGTGCCTCCACGTCCTCATCCATAAAACACGGATGTGAACGACCTCATGGGACTATGATGAGGATTAAGTGAATGAGTATTTGTCAGGTGTAACCAACAGTGCCCGGCACCTAAGAAGCACAATTTAAGGGTTTGCTAAGGACACCATGTTATTTTAGCCACCAAACCAGTTCACCTGTGAAGGGCAGGATAGTCTTCAGCACGGAAAGCAGCAATGACAGCTCCCTGCTTCCCTGTCCAGATCTCCTCCTTCACACGGAAGCCCCCCTATCAGGGCCCTGCTGCCCCCTCTGCTGTCAAAGCTCCACCTCCTCCCCAACCATTCCCTGACTTCATCTCCTCACAGAAGCTGTGTGCTCAGGCCAGGGGTGCCCTGGGCAGTCAATGGCAGCGCGATGGTCAACGTACTGGGATAAGCCTGGTGACATCACCCAGGGGAGGGCCTCGTGGCAGCCACCAAGGCTACGGCAGAAATGATCAGCCCGTCTGGGGCACACATCCTCACGTCTGCGGTGGAGCTGGGCACAGGTTCCCAAAGTTCCCACCTGTGCTTGGGGAGGCAGGCAGGAGGACACTGGGGAGCACGCTGGTTCTCCCTGTGCCCCATCAGAGCCATGGGCACAGCAACACCCTAAAATGCAGGGTGGGGTGCAGCGGCCACTCCCCATTCTCCCCACACAAGAATAAGTTCTCTGAACTTGCCCTGGCTCCTTGCCAGTGAGCTTACGTCTCCGTACGCAGAATATGTCTTCATTACTGAGTCTGAGTCACCACGGGGCAAGCGAATCAATGTCTCCATAATTAACCTAACCAAATGGAAAGCCACAGACGTAGGACGAAAATGCAATTTTGCCTGGGACTGCGTATTGAGGCAGACATAGCCCGAAAGCAGACAAGGGAGATAATTATTAGAATAATTTAAATGAGAAAATCTAGTCTGGAAGGAAGGACAAAAAAATCGTGCGCTGCCTAGAGTTTCCAGATGGATCATCTATATTAATCACATTTGCTGGGTGATTGTTGGGGGGGAAAAAAGGTCCCTCACAAATATTTGCAAATATTTCCAAACAAATGATCAGCATTAAAAGCATTTGGCAGATTTAATAGACCAAAATAAAAATGCATCCCTATGTGAAACAAAAAGTCCTGTTCCTCATAGAAACACCCCAGTTCCAACACGAGGCTCCATGCGGTCGTAGCAGTTTAAGCATGGTGGACACTCAGACTTTTATTGACGAAATTTATGATGTTAAATGTCCAGATGCTGAAGTATCCATTTTTCAAACACCAAATCTGTTTTGTAAATCATTTTATGGCCTTTCTAAAATATAGTACGCTGCTTCTTGTCTCTTCCATGTTTAGCTTTTCTCTTTGAGTTTTAGGATCAACCCCATAGTATTACCAATAGAGCGGGAGGTTAAGGTTTGTGGGGTTGTTTGTCCCGTCCAGAATGTGGTCTGAGACTGCTGAGGGTTTCTAATTCTTCTGTCCCCAGCATTTACTGTCAGGAGTTATATAACGTTCTTCAGTGCTGTCCTTGTGACTTGAGGCTTCTCGCAAATTCACTGACATAAGCAGTTTAATTACATTGCACTGAGTTTTGTTTCATTTTGTTTTTTCAACAGGAAGTAACCTCACATTCCTGGCTCCAGGACAGTTAGGATGGTCTCTGTCTTAATCTTTGAAACCGAAGGAGTGATGTCCTCCTGGAATAATTAATTCTTCCTCCAAGAACAGTGGGACTTCTGAAACCATCGAATTCACCACCCACATAGGAATCTTGTCTAGCACATCTCCCCACCAGACTACCACTCCCCTCTGATGGAAATCTCGGAGAGGAAGAGCCCACAACTCTAGGCAGTAGTCCATCCCAGTTACTCTTAACTTAGGAGGAGATTCACCCCTATGTTGATCAGAATCTTACCCCTCCCCCCATTGCCATACTGCCCTCTGGAGTGATACTGGCTAAGGACACACCTCTTCCCAAAGATGGAAACACATACCATGATGCCCCAGGTTTCCTCTGGCTTTGCTGAGGTCATACGTGAGGATCCTCCAACACATCCTTATAGGTCCTGGTCTCCTGGCCCGTGACCCCTTTCTCCTTCCTACACTGAGGGCAGTGCCTCACCCAGCAACAGCATCAGCACCTGGGAGCTCGTTAGAGATCTCAGGCTGCCCCAAATACATTGAACCAGATCCCACATCTCTACAAGCCCCTAGGTGAGCCTTGCGCACAGTAAAGTTCTGGATGAGCCCCATTTTAACACAGAATGCCCAGAAGTGACCCCCACCACACACCAGCTGTGATTTGATCAGGGGGGTGGACCTCAGGACTCTCAGCCAGCCAAGCACTGGGTGGCCATCGAGGCAGCCAAGGATCCCACTAAATATCCCATTTCGATGTCCCTTTCCCAGAAAGTCTTTGTAAAGAGATCAGAACATGCCATCCCATATGAGGCCATTTTGACATTAATTCTTTTTTCCTGAGGACACATGAGAAACAGCAGACATGGGAAAGCACTTGGCCCTCCTCCTTCCGACCTAAAAGTAGGACATAAAATTTCGCATGAGGAAGGTGCCCACCCTGTACCAAGAAGGGCAGAGCACTAAGAGCACCCAGAGCACCAGAGACTATCAGCCCAGAGACGCACAGAGAGAGGAACTGACGTCACTCACTTGAGGAAACAACTCATCTTCCTCCAGTTTCCCCCATGCATTTACCTCCCACCATTTGCCGCTTCTAAAAACCTAACCCCTTCTCCTTTGTCCTGTCATTTCTCTAAACACTAGCTGTTATAATGCTATATAAGCCTTGGCTGGTATGGCTCAGGGGACTGAGTGCTGGCCTGCGAACCAAAGGGTCTCCAGTTCAATTCCCAGTGTAGGGCACATGCCTGGGGTGCAGGCCAGGTCCCCAGCAGGGGGCGCACGACATGCAACCACACACTGCTGTTTCTCTTCCTTTCTTCCCCACTCTAAAAATAAATAAATAAAATCTTTTTTTATAATAAATAAATAAATGCTATCTAAGCCCCAAGTCCTAACCACCCCTTCGAATTACTCACCACTGAGTCTCTCCCACGTGTACACACAACACACATGTAAATAAACTGTTGTCTTTATCTTGTTAATGTCTTTTGTGAGTTTAGTTTCCTGGGCCCCAGTCACAGAACTAAGGAGGGTGAAGGAGAAAGGTGTTGTTCTCTTCCCCTCTTCCCCTATACCTTCCTGGGCCAGGTTT